ATCCTTCGACCCCACTTGCTCGGACCCCGTCTACAACCCTCCTCGAAATCAAGCGCCAGCTTCTGTCCGACCTCCTCGCCCCCGAATCTCAGTGTTGATGGACGCGCAGCGCGGCCCGCGGGGGTCCGTGCTACACGCTTGCAGTGGCCCGTGCCGGCATCGACCTTGAGATTGGGGGTCGGGGCGTCGCCACGTCGCGGGAAAGAAATTTGCGCTTTATGCCAAGGAGGCATGTCGGACAGGCTTACGTCGGGCCTGTCCCTCTACAGGAGGAATACCCCAAAAATTTGTAAGAAGATAGTCTGGGGACGATGTCTTGACTACTTTTGATCATTTTGAAGTATTGTTTGACTATTTTTTATTGTTCGTCCAAAATCCGCCTGTAGGGGGACATGCCCGACCTAAGGATAGGCCTCTATCCCCTGACTCTGGGTTCGCCGTCGTTTGGTTCATCTTCTGACCGAAGACTGTGTCCGGACTGCACCCCGAGCGATGCGAAAAAGTGGAGCGTATATGCCCGCCTCAGAAGCGCAGGGCGGAGACTTGCGCGAACGGCACGGTGGACACAGCGACGGCAATGGTCTTTGTCTTATTCGTTGACTTGCTGATCGGCGCGGGCCCTCGCACCCCCTCCCCCCACCAGCCGCACTCCCCCTCCTTCCCCCCCCGCCCTATGCCGGAACGCCGAACATGAAAACGTTAACAGGAGGGAGCCGGCAGAAATCGACACCAGAGGAGCTTGTCCGCCCGCTCTGGCGACATCGCCCAAAGAGCACGGCGGATCCGACGCCAGAGGGCTCCCCAGGCGCGGTCTTCGAGGCCTCCAGGCCCACAGACCTCCAACGCACCGAACAGATCAAGACGGAGGTTTCCCGTGGTTTTCGGCGGCCGGGGGCCCCCGGACAGCAACAGAAACAACAAAGAAGCGGTAGTCCGCAGGAAGTTGTCCATAGCTCCGAGGGGGGGGGGGCCCCGTGTGGGAAGAACGAGGATAATCGGAGGTCGAGGTCTCCGACCGGTTTTTTTTAATTGTTTTCAGTCCTGGAACAACAGCGTCGGATACCTGGGTCCCTGCATCAGGAGGAGGAGGGGGAGGAGGAGGAGGAGGGGGAGGAGGAGGGGGAGGAGGAGGAGGAGGAGGAGGAGGAGGAGAAGAAGGAGGAGAAGGGGGAGGAGGAGGAGGCGGAGGAGAACTAGGAGGATGAGGAAGAGGAGGAAGAAGAGGAGGAGGAAGAGGAGCAGCAGAAGGAGGAGGAGAAGGAGGAGGAGAAGGAGGAGGAGGAGGAGGAGAAGGAAGTGCGCAGCGGCGGCGGAGCGGTAACGGGCCGAATTCGACCTAACCAGACCTACCGCGCAACGAGTTGCGGAATTAGCTGCGATTTACCGTGCGTATCGAGCGACAACAACGATTGGAAGAAGAGCTTCCAGCGTCTGTTTTTTCCTTCCCCAAGGCAAAATAGGGGAAAGAGGGGGGAGCAAGAGGATTTTAATTGACAGATGGCGCCGTAGGCAACTACAGTATAGTGCTACACTATCGAAACGGATGTCACTTCTCTTATAGATCGGATCGGCCCAGACTTGAGGTGCGACTGGGGGGGGGGCTCGCTCTCGGACGCCCAGGAGGGCTCACGACGGCCTTAGATAGCCCCAAGACAGACCCAGAGGGCCTAGGAATGCCCGAAAACGCCCCCGAGAGACTCCCAAGACGGCTAATCCTGGCCAAAGCCGGTCCAGCACGGCCATCAGGTGGCCGGAAGACAGCCAAACGGGCTCCCAAGACGGCCAAAGGAGGCCCCGAGAGGATCCCCAAGATGGCCCCAAGAGGCAAACATCAGAGATGGTCCATGCGGATTTGGGCGATTTTAACATGTCCGCCTTTCCGGTTTGCAGGGCACCCAAGGCGGCCCAGGAGGCCTCCAAGATCGCCCCCAGGATGGCGCAACCGGCGTCCAAGAGGGCTCCAAGACGGGCCCAGAGCGGCCCAAGAGGGACCTAAGACAGCCCAAGAGGGCCTCAAGACGCCCTAAGAGGGATCGGGAATGCTCAAATCACAGGAGGGCCTCAAGATAGCCCAACGGGCCCCGCGGCCCCCCAGAGCGCCCCCAAACAGCCCCAAGAGATCCCCTTGACGGTATCGAGTGCCCCAAGACAGCCCAAGAGGCCCCCAGACAGCCAAATAGGCTTCGTAGACAGTTTCAGAACGGCCCCAAGAGCGATCCCCCAAGAGGGGCCTATTCAAAACCCTGGATTAGTACGGCCACGGTCAGAAACTATATTTTGTTCACAATTGTAGGTGTTTATGCCACATCGGCAATCATTGTACTAAGACTGTCCGCTCTTGTCTGCTCGCGTGCCACGCAACATGTATATCCCAAATTCTCGACACACGCCCTCTTCGTCTTCGACCGTGCTCTTTTAGGGGTACATCTTGTTCACCTGAAACGTGTATTTTGTGCAGCCCCTTAGGCAGGGGCAGAGAGGACGAAAGGAAGGAAGAGGCAAGGGGGAGGGAAGAGGATGGAGCACGAGAGAGAGAGAGAGAGTAGAAGGAGGGGGGCAAAGAGCAGAAAACACGTGGCAGAACCAGACGGGCAGATCGGGCGGGTAGACCCTAACGGGCGGGTCGGGAAGGCGGGCCCAAGCGGCTAGGTCGAAAAGGCGGGTTGCTGACGCGTGCGCCTTGCATGAATCGTGAGGAAGTCTTGAGCGATAGCGCGATTCCCAAATAAATCATGAAACAAACCAAAAGCGAGAGCGTAATTCCTGAGTGTCGAGGGCGCGGCGTTTGAATCCATTGCGAGGAAGTCCCACACGAGAACGTCCCGCGCGAGAGAGCGATTTGGGAATACATTGCGAGGTAGTATCTGGCGGGAGCCGTTGTTGTTGTAGTACGGGGGCCAGGGGCGCAGTTTGGTGACACTTCGCTTTCCCTGGTAGAAAACAGGGTGCAACCCCGGGGGAAGCACTTTTATTGAAAAATACAATGGTTACCGGGCAGGGGGATTAACAATAATTAATCTCGAGAATTGCGAAATCAACAACAGCAACAACCCCACCACCACCACCAGCAACAAAAACAACAACATTACCAACACCGATAACAACACCAACACCACCAACAACAATCACAGCAGCAGCAACCACAACAACAACATCCCCACCAACACCAACAACTTACCACACATACAAAAGCACAGCCACAAAGCAATCACACACACACGCAAACATACACACGCACCCCACACACACATACACATATGTTTGTAGATATGTGTATATAAGTAGTTATGTAGGTGCACGCGCATGTACGCACACACACATATATATATATATATATATGCATATGAACTTGTACCATGTATACACATACACATATATGTAGATGTTTATGTTTCCATCTAATTGAAATCAGACATGTGTATTACCGCATCGAGGGCAACAATCAAAACAATAAGGACTGACCGCGGCAGGTCGTTTCATTATTTCCTGCTTCTGGAGGCCCGTTCTGGGCTCCAGGGCCGTCGATTATCGATCTGGGGCGCAAAGCTGGGCATGACGGACCCCAGGAGGGTGCCCTGGGACCAATATTGACCGCCTTCCTAAGCCTCTGGGCGGTTGTTCCCAACCATCCTGTGGTGTTGGGTCCTCGTTTTGAAGAGACAGCGCCCCGCGTTCCTTCCTCCTTCCCTCCGCCTCCCCCTCCTCCTCCCTCCTCCATCATCATCATCAGCATAACCGTCACCATCATGGCCGTCATCGTCACCATCGTCGTCATTACCATCGTCGTCATCATCGCCATCATCGCCATCAGCTCCAGCACACCCCTCACACGCTTCGTGCCCCCACAGGGAGCTCCACCGAAGGCCCCAGTGGCTGCGTTCGCATGCAACCACCGAGTCCATTTCGGCACAACCCTCACACGTTTCGCGCCCCCATAGGGAGCTCCACCGGAGGCCCGAGTGGCTGCGTTTGCATGCGCCCCCCGCACCCATGTCGGCATACCCCTCACACGTTTCGTGGCCCCATATGCAGCTTCCACAAAGGCCCCAGTGGTTACGTTCGCATGCGCCCACCGCATCTTTTTCGGCACACTCCGCACACGCTTTGTGGTCCCGTAGGGAGCTCCACCGAAGGCTCCGGTGGCTGCGTTCGCACGCGCCCACCGCACCAATGTCGGTACACCCCTTACACGTTTCGGGGCCCCACTAGGAGCCCCACTGACGGCCACAGTGGCTGCGTTCGCATGCGCCCACCGCACCCATGTTGGCACACCCTCACACGCTTCGCGGCCTCATAGGGAGCTCCACAGACGGCCCCAGTGGCTGCGTTCGCATGCGCCCACCGCGCCTATCTCGGCACACGTCTCACACGTTTCGTGGGTTCATGGGGAGTTCCACTGACGGCCCCAGTGGCTGCGTTCGCATGCGCCCGCCGAGCCCATTTTTGGCATGCCCCGCCACGTTTCGTGGCCCATAGGGAGCTCCACTGACGGCTCCAGTAGCTGCGTTCGCATGCGCTTTCGTGGCCCCATGGGGGGCCCCCCCGAAGCGCCACTTGGCTGCGTTCGCATCGCCCCCCGTGCCCATTTTGGCACACCACTCATGCGTTTCGTGGCCCCACAGGGAGTCCCACCGACGGCCGCAGTGGCTGCGTTCGCATCGTCCCCTGCACCCATTTTGGCACGCCCCATCGCACGTTTCGCGGCCCCATCGGGAGCTCCACCGACTTCGCATGCGCCCACCGCACCAATTTTGGCACACCGCTCACACGTTTCGTGGCCCCACAGGGAGCCCCACCGAAGGCCCAAATGCCAGCGTTCGCATGCGCCCACCGCACCAATTTTGGTACACCCTTCACACGTTTCGCGGTCCCATGGGGAGTTCCACCCACGGCCCCAGTGGCTGCGTTCGCATGCGCCCACAGCATCCATTTCGGCACACCCCTCACACGCTTCGTGCCCCCACAGGGAGCCCCACCGAAGGCCCCAGTGGCTGCTTTTG